GGCGCGCACACAGCGACCCCCCCCCGCCCCCCCCCGAGTAGCAGCTGCTTGACCCTGGTAGCCAGGCTCGGCCCCTGGTCAACCTGCGTACAGCCCTGGTTGCACCACAGTCAATGGGCACGTTGTAAACCTCGGGACAGATGCGTCTGAAACATTGTTAAACCGGTGCTAATGTCACCAATCTTCGTTTTTACCAGCGTGTTTGATAAGCGTTACGATTTGCCGTGAACTGGCCTGTGTGTCTGGGTCCGATCTCTGCTGGGAGCGGCACTGCGCAAAACCGCCTTGCTCCTTTCCAGAAATGGAAAAGCTCGCTCAGTCACTGCTTAAATTGATCTTTTCACTTCTTTTGCTAAGACTAAAAAGTCTAAACAGCCTGCGGGCCTGTATGCTGTGGAGGATGGCTAAGGCAGCCACTTGTCGCTGCAGATGCTCGAGTCCGGTGGGCCCAGACCCCAGGAGCAGAGCAGCTCAAATGAGGAGGTTGTACAAGGGGGTCTTGAAGCCCCCTGCATGCTCCCTTGTCCTGGGTGGCTGTGCCCTGGCCCAGGCCCCAGGGGCAGGCAGCGGAGCATGAAGGGCTTTCTGATTTCCGCTGCAGCAGCAGGGAGGAGGGCCAGGCGCTGGGAGGGTGGAGACGTCCCCGCTGCAGGGGGGTGGTGACAGAGAAGTCCCCAGGGCCGGGCCTCTGCCCTCAGAGGCAGTTTTAGGGCAGCTTGCAGCAGCTCTGAGTGAGGAGCTGGCTCAGCATGCGGGTTTCTGTTGCAGCAGAAAGGGCGGCTGCTCTCGCCCATCACTTAGAGGTGCCAGCTACTGGTTTTGTGGGCAGCCAGTTGTCCTGTTAGCCTGCCGTGCTTGGTGTCTGCAGAGTAGATGCTGGCACGGGGGGTACGCACGTTCTCCGAAGCTCCTGGAAGCAAAACCTTCCTGAGAAATAGCTCCCGGCACCATGGAGGGGGCAGAGGCACTGTCCAGGTGTGAGGTGGGGAGTGCAGGGGGTCTCCTGTTTCCCTCCAGGCGGGTGTTGCTGTGGTACCCAGGTGTGTGGGGAAATGATGGAGCACGAGTTACCTTCTCCAGGGGGGCCGGCTGATTCACTGAGCCAGATGCTCGTGCTGCCTGGCCCGGCAGCCTGGCGCCGCGAGCCCTCTGCATTTTTCCCCACTCGTTGAAACCGGGTCCCCAGGACGTTCTTGTCCTGCAGTCAGCCGCAGCTCACCTGACCTGCCACATGGGTGTGCTCCCTTCATACTGCATTAGGGATGCGGCTGCACGATCGATTCTGCTGTGCAGCTGTACACAACGCGCTGCGTTAGCAGCGAGAGCGCGCGCAGCCGGTGCCTGCCAGCCCCCGGCCTGGGGAGCCCCCCGGGGGCAGGTGACAGAGCCAGCTTTGCAGGGGTGTTGCCTTCCCCCTCCCGAGGGAGCTCTGCACAGGGCGCGATGTGCGCAGGACGGGCTGCTGGTCCAGGGCTGCAGGGTGACATTCCCCAGGAGCTGTCGCAAGCCTCGCCACCTTCCCTTCAAAGGACATTTCTTTGCGCTGCTGTGTGTAAGGTACGGAGGGCAACGCATGTATCCAAGAAAGCACCCCCTGACAGGGAGACACTCCAGCGCACACCCGTCTGCCCCCAGGAGAGGACGAGCGAACAAACAACATGTGGTAGACGTTAGTCACATTGCATAACGCACGACTGGAAGGCGCTCGGGTACTGCGGCAGCGAGCGCGGAGGAAAACCGATGGGGAGCCCAGCAGATTAAGAGGCTTGAAACGCCCCGCAGGACTGACACTGCCTGGCTGCCCAGCAGAGCTCGCTGGCGTCCCCAGCTCCCGTTGTCCCTTCCCGAAGGCCCCGCGCTCTGCAGTCTTTGTTCCGCTTTGCTTTAAAGCAATTTAAATGCAGCTCTGAGAGGTCCCGTGGGTTGTCGGGAGGGGGCAGGAACTGTAACAGGTCCATATTTCTTGGGGGCTGATGCACTGGAGAGCTTAACAACTGCTGCTCAACCTTGCTGCCTGTATCTGCTCGTGGAGGTGCTTGGAGCTGGAGGGTGGGCACGGTGCCCACTTGAGTTTGTGCAGCCCCGGGCGCTCAGGGGGCAAACCCTGGCTGGTTTCCCGAGGTGTTGCCGTCATGGAAATAACAAATAACTCCTCCTGGTAGATGTGTACCAGCGGGGCCGCGTGGGGGTGAGCCTGGTGCCCCGAGGATTGCAGCTCTGTGTTGCCTGGCTCCGCTCCAGCTTGGGAGTTAGCCGCTCCTGGCAGGTGCCTTCCCTGCAAACCTTCCCGCAGCTCCGCGGAGACAAAAACCATCCCCTGCTCTCCCCAGAAGACAGGTGTGGACAGAGCAGTGGCGCCCCACCACCGTGCTCGCCAGGACACTGCGCCAGTGTCCTGGGACGGCCTGGTTGTCACGTGGCCTCTGCTGCTCTCCAGGCCGTGCCGGACAGGTGAGAGGCCGTGTCC